AATTTTTAGATAGAAATGCAATTGCTTGGTTGATAAAGGCCCTAGTAATTAGAAGTTGGTAGGCGGTGGCCGACTCGTGGTGTGGCCGACTCGGTGGGGAAATACGTTAACTAGTTAAATGGTGATGATCGATGATGACATACCACAACTACTGTTAGTTAGATAGTTATCGATAACGATAACTATCTAATCAACACGTGATATTCAAACACCCCTCATTTTCTCGTCCCACTCCGCTCCTCCGCTCCTCTCCTCCCCGCTCTTTCGCTTTTCCCAATCCCATTAAATCGTCCTAAAACCAACCCCCAAGGTTATCTTGAGGGAAAGAGCGAGATGGCCAGTATAATAGCCCTCTCCGGCCCGTCCTCATCCGGCAAAACCACCCTCACGAGACTCTTACAACGCATCTTTAACAACTCCTCCTCTTCCTCGACGGACGTATCACCCGATTCGAATTCCAATCCCAACCCCCCTCCGCTACGAACATTCATAATCCACGAAGATGATTTCTACCATTCTGACGATCGGTACCTAGCCCATCCCTTCCTTCCCCTTCCCCTCCCCTCCCATTCCTAAAACAATCCCAATTCTAACCCCCCCCCAAAAAAGAATCCCAATCACAACCCTCCCCTCCGGCCAAACAATCCAAGACTGGGACTGCGCTGGTGCAATCGACATCCCGTTCCTCCGGGCGTCGCTAGCCCACGTCCGACAGACGGGATCCCTGCCCCCGAAGTTGCTCAGCAAGGAAGATCAGAATGAGGTTACCGACTCGGGGGTTCCGGAGGAGGTTGTTCTTCGATTACGCGGAGATGTGCAGAAGAGGTTGTTGAAGGCGCAGGTGCAGAGCAAGGGAACGCGCGTGGTGGCGTTCTTGGAGGGATTCTTGCTATATGCACCGTCGAGAGAGGACGAGGATCATCATCATCATCATCATCATCATCATCCCCTACAGGACGTGCACAAGTTACTGGACGTGCGGTTATTCCTGCCCGCGCCGTACGACAAGGTGAAAAGCAGACGGGAGAGTCGGAGTGGATACGTGACGATAGGACCGGCGCCGACGCCGACAACTTCGACTACGACGACCACAGCTTCGACGACGGGAAACTCGGAGGAAGTGGATTTGTACGGGGAGGATGATCGACCACCGCAGAACTTCTGGACCGATCCGCCGGGATACGTGGATGATATTGTGTGGCCGCGGTATGTGCAGGATCATGCGTGGTTGTTGCTACCGGAAAGGAAACCCGGACAGGAAGGGGCTACGAGTTGCCTGGGAGTCAATCCCCAGGAGGTGGTGAAGCTGGTGGGACAAGGCGTCAATGTGAGAACTGGTGCTGGAGTTACGGTGGCTCCGGGTCAGGGAGAATTGCCGATGATGGATATCCTGCAGTGGGCGGTAGAGGAGGTGATGAAATACTTAGAAGGGACGATACAATAGAAACAGTAGACCAATTATTTGCATGTTACGGTTGTAGATATTAATCCACGCCTATTGATGTACGCATATTCAGTATCATCTCGCTATGCTCCACAATCCTGACACTTCGGTAGCTCATCCAAACAAAAGGAAACACTTGGACCGTCGGCTTCACGTCCCCTAATTAACAGGCCCTCTCCATCCAAGCCAGTAGTCGATCCTGTCTCGGAAGTTGATCAATGTGGTCGTGTCACCAAAGTCCGTCTCCGTGTCTTCCTTGTCGCTGTCCTCCGCACTATCAACTAGCACTTGTCTTTCGCTTCCAGTATCCTTCTCTGTACCAACAATAGCGTCTGATACCCTAGAGCTAAGGTGATCTGGCTTGAAGACACTATCGTCCAAAATGGCTCCCGCATCTTGGTTCGCCATCGTGAGGTTCATAGTAGCCATTTCGCTCGAATCCAAAGAACTCGATTGGCCTTGAACTGTGTCCAAAACGTCGAGACCCGCGTCTTTAACAAAGAACCATACCAATAAGCCTAGAAGGCCATACATAGCACCCAAAGCTAGACTGAGCCGTGTCATGCTTGAGCAAGTCCAGTCGTACAAACAAGACAGAGATAGAAAAGCAGTCTTGATGCAGCCTTTGGTAGACTGTGAGGCATTGGCCATGAGAGTTGATACCAATAAGCGAAACAAAAGAAGCACCCCAGGGGCATCGGGGACACCAGGAGTGGAGAGATCAGGACCGACGCTTGCTTTATCATCCGATTTGTGACCCTCCTTATCAGCACCTATGTCTTCGCGTAGTAACTGCTTGTCATCCTCTTTGGCAACTGGAAAGATTCCCCTAGTGCTCAACCCGGTGAATGTGCCGCGTAGACCATCTCGATCCTCCTCGAGGCGACCGGGAGATGCCGAATAGATGTGAGGAAGCCAGTGATCGGCATGTCGATCAGTTGAGGGAATGGACCATGCCAAACAGAACACTCCCAGATCCTTCGGAGAGCAGATGACTTGGACCCGAGAAATACCAACGGAGGCGGAGTCGCCACGGGGGATTTCAATCATCTGCAGCCTTGTCTTCTGATGTTCAAGTTTGCAAATGAAAAATCCATCTGGGCCTCCGTCCACGTAGAAGGAAAAGCCGCACTTCTCAGAGCAGATATAGCGTCGGTTGGATCTCAGCGAGCACATGGCATAGTAGTTGATCGATCCATCGTTTTCTGCCCCAGATTTAGCTACCGCATGACGGGAGATGATTTCTTGATCCAAGACAATGTGCTTGAGAAAGCCGTAAAATCTTCGACCACATACGCGCATTGAAACGGCAAGGTACCCGGTGTTGATGAATTCAGCAAAGAAGCAATTCTCCACCTCCATACACCGCCGCTTGTCTGCTGTACGGAACTCGAGGCCACGATCTTCCGGAAGACGAAAGAGGAAAGACCCAGTCTCTTCGGCCTGTAGATATGGGAGCCCAGGTAGCAATATTGTGCTCCATCCTTTGGCATAGTCATCATCCACATAAACGGTCAAGTTGACCTCTATCTTGTAAGTGGCCTGCCGGGTTTTGGTGGAAAATTTCATGATGAGATCCCCATTGGAGAGAGTCAATTTTGGGTCGCTCCAAGAGAACTCTATGAGTGGTTGAATCTCAATCTCATTATCGTTTCTGTTTGTCTCCTCGATCAGATAATGGTTTTCCCAGGTCTCGGGCTTGGAATTAGAGGGGTCCGGCGTACTGAACAGGAGCGAGGGATAGGGACTCGACGGACGTGCGTTCAAATCGTCATTTAGATCCCCAGTAATCCCCAAACCAAGACCAGGTGATGCTGACAAGCCACTAGGGCTGCCCTCTTGGTCACAAGGAGTGTGAGTTCGGGGCACCGGGCTACTGTTGTAAAGCCTTTCCATTGTCGGGGACTCTTCTCTCAGGGGCGCATTCGATGACCCAGCCACACTAGTGGATTGACGACAGACCTCTTCGCTGCCAGTCGCACCATCTGCCTCAGTCTCGTAACCATCCGGGGTTTTCTCCTCTAGATATGGCTCGCCATCCCCTGTACTAGCGATTCCTTCATCCAAGGGCCTATCCCCAGGCTGTTGTGTTGCTGTCTCCAACCAGGCCTCGAGACCGATAAGTTTCGCAGACTTGATATTCTCTTCTGCGGTTGTCGAAATAGAGCCGAGAGTCAGAGTTTTCTGCGTGTCATTGCTGGAGTCATGTCTTTTGTGCGTTGGTGCGCTGTCCGATCCGGAATCCGTGAAGCATGCGTCTGCAGCACTTCTTTTCACCAGTTGTGGTGACTTGGTCAGGTCGTCGTACTCCGCGACGTTGATACACAGACTGGAGAATTTCTCTGCACTAGAAATATCTGCAGGACTTGTGTCTCGACAAGTTGTAATATCTTTCATGAGGGAGCGGCTTGGAAGAGGAGGACCATCTTGTAACACCGAAAAGGCTTCTTCACTGTTGGGAAGTCTCTCTGCTGAAACTCGGCGGGCTCCTTTCAATTTACCAGAATCCGGAGTGGAAAATGTGAATAAAGAGCTGCTGTCGTTCGATTCATCAGATAAAAGACGCGCTGAAACAGTTTTGAGGAAGATGGCCGAAGATTTGGTATCCAGTAGCCGCAGCTCTGTGTCGGGTGCAGATTCAACCTGTAATTTCTGATCAGAACGAGAATATCGAAAGCAACAAGGCCATACATACTTCCAGAGAGATCTTGAGTCTTACTGGTCCCTCAAATTCGCCATCCCACGACCCGAAGACTTCAAGATTGCGGAACTTTGGCTGCATCGGTTTGGAGTCCATGTTGTCTTGTATAGATGTACAGGTCCGTAGAGAGGAAAAGGCCTAGGGAGAGAAAAGACAGGAGCGAATAGTAGAGGATGAGAAAGGTGGAGGATGAGAAGAGGGAGAGAAACGAGGGGCAGAGGAGGAAGTCAAGTGAGAAGAAAGAGGAAGGAAGTGAGTAGATGCCCCAGGCAGGGGTGGGCATTTAAGGGCACTTTCCGTATCACTCAGTTTCTTTCTTCACTTACTTGGGACTTGGCAAACGATCTTGTAGTTAATAATGGATTCCAGAATCCTACCCAGCACGTCAGAAAGCTGAACCCGCTGACTTTGTGAAGCAAAAAACTAGTAATATGTACAGGGGAGAAAGAAACAACAAGCCAAACATCACCTGAATTAAGCAAAAAACCGCACCGTGAGAATGAAAGAAAAGGAGAGAGAGAAACACCCCGCTAAGTAAGGTAATCCTTTTAATGCCCCCCAGGCGCCATGTATCCCCCAAAACCAACCATTCTGTTTCCATAAAACAAGATCAAACACCCGTTCCACAGTCTATCCAGAATTTTTGAAAATCACACAAAAGCAAAAAGAAAAAGAAAAGGTGATTGAATCCAGAACGTCCCACGCGGCACACCACGGTTTCCAAAACATAAGATCAAAAGAAAGGGAGAGCAGCATATTGGAGCATTAGTGCAGGCGAAAAGCACAAAGAACAATGAAAGGGAAAAGAGCACGATCATACTGAGACAGCAGCAAACGCACCCTGTTGCTCCCCGGGGTGGAAGAGTCTCCAGGTAAATATGACTTATCGAGGGGTCCCATTGGATGAACCGGGGTGATCGAAAGCCGTCTGACCGGGTGCTGAACCATACCGATCCGCTTCATTTGTGCCAATAGGTTGAGAGGGTAAGATAGGAGTAGCTCCTTGCGACGGCTGCTCAAAGTAGCCCCGAGCCGTAGCAGCACCATTAGTCCCTTGGGGGTAGTTGCCTCTCCGCTGCAAAGGTGGGAGAATTGTAGAGCTGCCTGGGTATTGCGCGCGTGGATAACCTTGAGACATCATCGAATCCGGTGTCTGTTCCAAAGAAAAAACCACATTCAACGGTCGTCAGCTATTTGTCCTTGAGAATTGGGGGTCGATGTCGTCCGTACGGGAGTACCTGTCGGATTCACCATTCCCAGAGACTGCATGGTGGCCTGTTGACTACTCCGGCTATGGCTCGCCGGGTCTTGCATTGGGGAAACTTGGGCCGAGGGGATACCGTATGTAATCTGCGCTCCGTGTAAGCCAGGTGCATAGCCAGGAAGCCCGAGCTCCGAAGACGTCACTGTACCCGTGGATGGACTGTCAAATGACGTGGGAGTTGGTACGGGCTGAGGCTGACGAACCGCGTATTCAGGAACCCCCGTGTGGCCTGTGGGATACTGCATCATGGCGCCATAAGATCCGGGTTGGTTTGAGTACATGGTCGCAGCCTGCGGGTACGCTTCCATTTGACGCATTCGTCCATCATCGTACACGGCTCGGCTGCCATAGTCGATCGACGTGCGCTGCCGCTTGACAGGTGGTGGATAGTAACCGTACTCTCGCCCCGTTGGTTGATAACCACCAAACGCATTTCCTGACATTTGAATCGCCGTCCGTTCTGGGGAGCGAGGAGGAAGTGGCTGTGGGAAATCCTCGGGACGAGGGACCGGCCGTTTTCTGGCAAGAGATTTGGTCAGTACTTTTGAGTTCTTTGGTAGAAGAGGCGAGAGAAGTAGGATTTGCCTCATTGCGCCTGCTTGCTTGGGAACTCACATTAATGTGCGGGGTTCCTTTCGGATCCTCAGTTTCACCCCTTGATCTGCAAAAGATCTGGACAAGAATGTTGACTCCGCCATTCCCGGGAAGCTCTTAGGCGGCGATACTACGAAGAGAGTCAGCATGCGCAGGCAGACGAAAACGAAACACAAAATCTCACCAGTGAAGCGCTCGGAAATTGTCGACTTCAAATAGTGCACCGTGTCCCTGCACGAGGCAGTCAGTACCAACCAGTCTTGTTCAATCTGCTTGGACGCGCGCATTTCGGGTCCTTACCGCCGCATCTCGAAGAGTGTGAATTTCAACCGAAAGTCGCCCTCCACTTTCACAGACAAATCCCCAAAGACGAAGAATCCCCCATCTGAGGTTTATCCTGATCAGTCTCCCAACGTTTCCGCCTTTTCCTGTTGATCGGGGGGCAGGGGAATTTGACTTACCGGTATTGTCCACGTCCTTCAACCGATGAAGAGACGAAACCAAGGTACCCGTCAAAGCTGTGGACGGGGACACAGCAACTGGAGAGTCGTCCGAGCCATCATACAAGCTGCAGCACATAAAATAATAGGGACTTTGCAGATAGTGTCTAGTAAGCAACCTTGGTTAGCAGGCCACGGGATCGACTTCACTCGTTCAAAGCTGGTGCCAACCTACTGCGAGAGATAAGTGCCTTCCTCTCTTACCCGGATTTGCACAATCGGTGGGGGGTCCACTGGTTTGCGCTCTGTAGCAATCGCCGATCACACGAGTCAGTCGCAACTCGCCAAAAATAAGAGGATGCGCGCCAGGCGCAATTCGAGGCTCCTTCATCAAGAAACGACGGGATCACACACCTTTCTCTTTCCCACCAGCCACGCGCGCCCGAGTGGGCTGCTGGCGAATGTTCAAGTCAAATTCAGAACTGGGGGACAGCATGGTCAGCGGGTAACCCTGAGCAGCTGCACGAGAGAGGAGAGGGAAAAAGAGAATTTAGTGAAGATGCGACGAAAGGAAGATAGTATACACACCCTGGGGGATCGCGAGAAAGAGAGGCGTCCGCAAACGTCGACGCACTCATCAAGGCGAGATCGGCGGACTAAGAACCAGAAGATGGAAGGAACCAAAGAACCAGGCCGGGAGATCCGTCAGAAATAACCGCAGCGAACCACGAATAGATCAAACCAGGATAACTCAGGGGGAGGGGTTGTGTTTATTTAAAACAGAACAAAGGATGGGAAGAACCGACGGGCGATGTAGCAAGGTCAAGGATCCGACGGCGACGAACAAGAAAAAAAAATAAGAGAGTCAGAAGAGTTTGGGACCTTGCAAGGATGGACTTTGTGGTTCAAAGAAGCACTAGAAGAAAGGAATGATACACAGTGGGGGTGTGGAAGAGGGAAGGAAAGAGGGGAGGATGGGGTGGTGTTAAGGACAGACGCGACGGTATGATTTGATTATTAGTTAGGTAGGTAGGGTAGGTTAGGTAGATAGGTAGGTAGTCTTAGTTTCGGAGAGCTCGCCCAGGGCCCCAAGTTATCCGGGAGTGGAGACAAGCCAAGAGACAGCCTGAGCTGCAGGATGCAGGGTGCAGGGTCAGTTGCAGGGGGAGCGCAAGCGGGAGGTTACTGAAAACGGGCACCGAAGTCCAGGGAAGAGAAGGTGGTAGAGAGAGAGAGACAGTCTGGGCGAGGTTGAGTTCCGTGAATGAATGATGGTGTCGTCAGAATGCAAGCGGCAAGAGCCAACCGAGCACGGTTCCAGACAAACCTTAACCCGGAAGAAGTTTTTCTCTCTCTTCACTCGGGGGAGGAGTCGATACTGCAATGAAACGTCACCGTTGAGGAATTCCTGGAATAGAAAAAAGAATAAAAAAAAGTACAGAAAAGAGAAAAGAGAAATAAAAAAAAATAAAAAGAAAAAAAAGAAAAGAAAAAAAATCGGAGGTGCTGCAGGAACCCCCCAATGAAACTTGCCGACCGTGTATACGGGGTTTTCCAATAGGTCTGGATCTAGGCCGGAAGAGAGAAAAAGAGGCCAATAATATCGGACGAATAATCAAATCACAGCAGTGGTCCAAAAATTATTCAATAATCTTTTTAGAAAGAAAAATAATCAAAACTGCAAAGTCAAACTGTAAGGCGAAAACCCGCAGCAAAGTGGCGGGAGATGAGGGCCGATAAGACGAGAGCTGAACGATGGGTCAAAAAGTCGCCTCTTGACAGGCCACTGACGCACAGTGCGAGAAATTTCTGGCCAGAGGGTGGGAGGGCGAAAATATTATCAAATAAATTGTTCAAAAGAAAAAAGGAAAATAAAATTTGTATGAGGGTCGACAAATGAGAAGCCTCCAACGGAGAAAAAAAGAATTGGTTTGGATGGAGGGGGGGGGGGGATTCTCTGGCAATTCAACCACAGCTGAACCAGACAAAATGATTAGTGGAGCTGTACCAGAACAAGAGAGCAACGTCGGTCACTTTTCGGCCGTCAAATGGTGTCGTTACTGGCGCTGGTCGACCACGGTTGAGTAGGCGGACTAAAGGGTGTATCAGTCTCGACGATCCGACAGGAACCGCAACGACATAGAGATGATGCGCACATTGGCAGCTCCCTGAGGGCGAGAATGACGGAGTGCAAGCAAAGAGCTTTCTCTCTCTCTTTGCTTCCTGTGCTCTCTCCCTCGAGGTGAGATCACGCGCCAGGTTCCAGAGTCTAGTGACCGTATCTAGTACCTTCGCCTAGACCGAAAACTGATTGACGATTGAGATCGACCTAAGGGGCATGAAATCCACCGCGTGTGCGGCAAATCACCACTCGCTTCCCCGAGAGGAGGACTCCCCCCAAAACCCACAGGCGCAACGGTTTAGCCTCGTGCGCGCGGAGATGGTGCCGGCTATGCAAGTGATCAGACCCGTATCTAGGCGCCACGCAGGGTCTCCGAAGACTCCGATTCTCTTCCTTGACTCCAGAGCGAGAATCGTGGATGGTCGGTGCGCGCGCCTAAGCATTCCAGTCAGAAACTCATTCCCGTAGTCCCATCGGTCATTTGCATCTGTTACCGACTTGGTCCAAGGCCGTGTTTTTAAACTTTGATTAGGGAGAAGGGAGGGAATTGTTCCCTCATGCGTAGATCTGGCTCCTTTTGTTTCGTTTCCGATTAGTCTTGGTCAATCGGGCCCTTGTTGGTTTCTCTTTCTTCCTTTTTGCTTTATTTTTCTTCCCCCAACTCTTCTGGCCGACCACAGTCAGCGTTCAAGTTGTCATGGGACACACAAGCGACGACAAGCTATTCCCCAAGGAACCCCCCCTTCTCGAATAAACATTAATCGATATCAGATAATACGAACCTGGACTCTTTCAACGTCATGCAGTGGTTGGATCCGGGTCCCAAAACGACGCGATCCAAGGGCGCAAGAACGGTCAGCAGGGAGGAATCCAGGGCTCCAGAAGGCCCACTCGAGAACCGTTCCCTTTTGTTCACCTAAAGACCAAATAAATATTAACGGATCAATCGCGAGGTGATTTCCTCCAACGCCGAAAGGGTATTTACCTTGATGATTGTCCTTACCGACGAGAGCTTTGGGGTAGGAAGAAGAAGAAGAAGAAGAGAAAAAAAATCAAGAACGGAGGAGGGGCAGACAGGCCAACGAGACGAAAGGGCCGAACAGGAATCCTTGAACGTGATGGGATAACGTGAGTCGTGTCACGAGATGGCCACTCGCTTCTTCCTTCTTTTCCTTTCCTTTCCTCTCCTTTTCTTTCCTTTGTTCTTCTAGTCGACGACGGCAAAGGAGTTCCGAGCACACTCCCCGGTAAAGATTCGTCGCCTTCCCTCGCAGACTCGTTCACGTCTTCACGCCGAACCTATGCAAAGAACACAGTCTTCCTGCGAATTCTGCGGGCGTCGCAAGAGGAAACTCTCTCGGAAGTTTCAAAACCTTCGGTGCGCGCGAATAAGCCTTGAGAGAATCGTTGGCGGTGGAAAAACCACGTTACTCGGCGAACAGTCGGAGAACACACTGCATCTCGCAAACAAGAGGAAGAAACAGGATAATAAAGCCGGGACAGGATGATGTGGGAGTGGGCCCCTTTTCAACGTGCAGTCGTGGAGAAAACAAGAAAAGCGAGAAAGAAAAAAAAAGAAAGATCAGGCTCGAACTTCAGCCCTTTTTAGCCGCTGTGTTCTAGGATCTAGCTTGTTGGATGCATCACATCACCTGGGTCTTGACATGCAGGTCGCAGATGCCGCGCTCCCTCCACCCCACATACGCACACACGCCGACGTCGTCCAGGCCGTTGCGCTGGGGGGTTGATTTGAATGATTGGATCTTGGGAAGGGGGAATTGGGAACCACCTCAATAAAAACGCGGCCGCCAAAGATCGGATCAATCAATCCACAGAAGTGGCGTAGGGGGGGGGGGGGGGGGGGGCAAAGACCCAGTCCAAACAAAATGCCAAAAGGGAAATAGAAAGTCATTTACGAATGGTCCTGACGAGCAAGCCTTA